GACTGCAGACCTAAACATCCACTTCTCCCTAGAGGACATACAAATGGCCAACGAACATATGAAAGGATATTCAACATTGCTGGCTATTAGGGAAAAGCAAATCAAAACCCCAATGAGATACCATCTCACACCTATTAGAGTGGCTATTATCAACAGGACAAGTCATAACAAGTGTTGGAGAGGATGTGGAGAAATAGGAACCCTCATACACTGCTGGTGGGACTGCAAATTGGTGCAGCCACTATGGAAAACAGTATGGAGGTTCCTCGAAAAACTAAGAATTGATCTATTATATGATCCAGCAATTCCTCTACTGGATATTTACCCCTCAGACGTGAAAACTCATATCCAAAAAGATATTTGCACACCGATGTTCACAGCAGCATTATTCACGGTGGCCAAGACATGGAAGCAACCGAAGTGTCCTACGATAGATAACTGGATCAAGAAGCTGTGGTACATATATACAATGGAATATGACTCAGCCATAAAAAGATGAAATACTGCCATTTGCGACACATGGATGGACGTCGAGATAATCATGCCAAGCGAAATAAGCCAGACAGAAAAAGTTGAAAACCATATGATATCACTTATATGTGGGATATAAACCTAAAAGCAACAAACTAACAGGACAAACACAGAGACTCATGGACATGGACAATAGACTAGTGGTTACCAGAGGGGAGGCGGGAGGTGGGAGGTAGGTGGGGTAAAAGGAGTTAAATATGTGGTGACAGAAAGAAATCTAACCATGGGCGGTGAACACACAGTACAATATACATGCTTTACTGTTGAATTGTACACCTGAAACTTACTGGATTGTGTTAACCAATGTCACCATGATAAAAATAAATTGAATAAATAAATAAACAAACAAACAAGTATACATAGCAAAGATAAAACTGATAAGTTCTGAGGATAACTTTCCCAACAATTATTATATCACTGAACAAAATATAATCTACTACAACAGAGAAAATTGTACTCTAATAGTCATAATTTTAATGTTTACTTTACACTATTTTATCTTTCTCCTATGAACTCCTATAATAAACACAGCATAAACTGTTAATTAATCATGCATTTTGTTGTACTATTTCTTCTACTAATGCCTTAAATTCTTGATAAGCAAGAAAAGAGTTAATTCTTTTTCAGATATAAAAGGTGATCCCCCAACTAAAAAGTCAAGTCAATGAGGATAGAAAATTTGTCTCGCACTCCCTATATAGTAGTTCCCCCTTATCCACAGGAGATTCATTCCAAGAGCCCCAGTGTGCCTGAAACGGCAGATAGTACCAAATCCTATATATACTATGTTTTTTTCCTATACATACATAGCTTTTCACTTAAAGAAAGCACTTTACAGCTTCTCTTTGGCAGATCCGAATTGCCAGCATCACTACTCTTGCGCTTGGGGGCCATTATTAAGTAAAATAGGGGTTGCTTGAACACAAGCACTGCGATACCCCAACAGCCAATAACTCAGACAGCTACTAACTAACAGGCGGGGAGTGTATATAGCCTGATTTCATCACGTTACTCAGAACATGCAATTTAAAACTTATAAACTGTTTATTTCTGGACTTTTCCATTTAATATTTTCAGACCACGGCTGACCACAGGTAACTGAAACCATGGAAAGTGAAACCATTGATAAGTGGGAACTATAGTATACTTTGCTTGAGCTTTCATCAATCACGGACTTTTTAAAAAACTATTTCCTATATTATAGTTTTTCAAGTTACAAAACTGTTATATACTTATTGTAAAAGTTAATAAATACCAAAGTATATAGGAAAAAATTAATTCTCCCTTCTCTCTCTACTTCAGCCCCCTCAGAAACCAATGCCAACAGTTTAGTAAGCATCCTCTCTATCTTTCTTTTTGCTCTTTTGAAAAAGGAATCCTTATACACTGCTGATGGGACTATAAACTGGAACAGCCACTATGGAAAACAATACGGAGGTTCCTTTAAAAATTAAGAATAGAATTACCATATGACCCAGCAATGTCTCTTCTGGGTATCTTCTATCTAAAAAATTTGGAAACATTTATTTGTAAAGATATATGCGCCCCGATGTTCACTGCAGCGTTATTCACAGTGGCCGAGACATGGAAACAATCAAAATGTCCTTCAATAGATGACTGGATAAAGATGTGATAAAGAAGATGCGGTAAATATATACAAGTAAATATTACTCAGCCACAAGAAAAGACGAAATTCCGCCATTTGTGACAATACGAATGGATCTTGAGATTATCATGCTAGCGAAATAAGTCAGACGGAAAAGGTTGAGAACCATATGATTTCACTCATATGTGGGATATAAAACTAAAAGCAACAAATGAACAAAGCAAACAAATCAAAACTCATAGACACAGACAACAGTTTAGTGGTTACCAGAGGGAAAGCGGGGATGGGACAGGTAAATAAGGGTAAAGGGGGTCAAATATAAGGTGACAGAAGATTTGACTTTGGGTGGTGAACACAGAGGGCAACATATAGATCGTGTATTATTAAACTGTACACTTGATACCTGTATAATTTTATCAAATAATGTCACCCTGATAAATTTAATTTAAAAAAATAATAAATTTAAACTCTTACATTATTTTGTCTAACACTTGCCGGTAAACGGCGAATGGGTATAATTTTATATTTTCTTAATATTCCTATGTTTTTTCTATCAAGCTATATTAGTCATTTCCAAAATTATACTTCATTAAAGCACATCAAGTTTCCTATGGGGATAAGCAAGGTCTATTAGGAATAACATGTCAGTAATTAGATAGATATTATTAGTGCCACAAACAGCTAATGCAAATATTAAGTGTTTCATTGGGGAATTCAAAGCATTCGACCTTCTCTTATTAACTCTATAAATAATGTAGAAGCAAATTGCTATCACGCCTATTTTCTCAAAGAGCTTAAAGTCTAGCAGGGGAGGAAAATGAGTAAACAAGCAATTACAACCTGACATGGTAAGTTCTCTGATAGCTCTAAGTGAAAAACATTAACAAAGCAAAAAGGAAACACGCCCAACATTATTTATAAAATAATAAACAGTGGACCTGCCCA